TTCAGACTGCAGTGTGGTGTCTGCCCTGCACTGCTCCTAAACCCCTTGGACCAACAGTATCAGGCTGACTGAACCTCTCTTCCTGCTCTGTTATATGTATAAGACAATCTTGTTTCAAAGATTCTTTTATACACATAAATGTTATTGTGCTGCACAACTCATCTGCTTCAAATGTCTCACTCAGTCTGCGGTTAAAGATTCTGTCCATTTTCCATGTGTCCATCTAGCCTGTGGCTTTGCCCATACTTCCTCCCAGTCACATGCAGTGCTATGGGCAACAATTGGGAATCCTAGCGATTTTGTTACTTCCCCCAGGGGTTGCAGACATGTCCTAGAGACTCAGGCTGATTGTGGGAGAGATGCCTAGGACTTCAGTTGCCACAGAATTTGGTGTCAGAGAAAGCTTGTCAGAGGCCAGCAGTTTTGGACATGTCATGATCACTCAGGACATTCCAGCAGCTGCAGGGGACTACAACCCCAACTGAAGACAAGATCCAGTCCTGAGCACTCCACACAGCCTGCACTGGCCTTGGAAAGCAGCACTCTACAACAGCCTTGGTGAAGTTTAGATGATTCTGCAGCTATTTCCACCCAAGCCAGAGCGGGGGGTCCATCCCCAAGTGGCTCAGCAGGAAACTGACTGGTACAGATTACAATTCTATATTTGCATATGATGCAAATAAAGAATTGCTGTGATGGGTCCTTCTGTGAGGCCTGTGATTGGTGTACATTATAATCACTACACTTGTTTGCCATACTCCTTTTGGGCTAATATGAACAGGCCATTTCACACAATTTTCAGGTTTGCCAGGAGAGCCTCTTTTGTGTGACTCCCTGGTGTTGCAACATTAGGTCTCATTAAAGTCAGTCTCTCTCTCTCTCTCTGTCTCTCTCTCTCTCTCTCTCTCTCTCTCTTTCTGTGACTGAACACAGGGCCTCAAGCTTGCTAGGGAGCGCTCTACCACTTGAGCCATGCTCTAGTCCAGGACTCTCTTGAGTAATCTCCAATTTACGGTCTTTATATCATGGGTTGAGCAAGTAACAAGAGGTGGTGGAAGGATATTGGTGGCAGTGCAGAGGTGGCAACAGCAATGGAGATGGCAGCAGTCATAAGGGAAGCTAAAGAGGCAAGGAGAGTAACTGGGGACAAGAATTGTGTACAAGATAACCAGGACTGGTGGAAGTACTGAGAAAGCAGAGACAGAGCAGAGCTGATTGCAAAGGCTGTGAAACACCAAGGTTGGGAGACCAAAGGTCCCAGTAGCTAAAAGCTGCCAAGCATTTAGAGCCAAAGATCTCCTATACCTTGGGCTTGTGAGCTGCGACAGTAGCTCCCACCAGCTGCTACCAATGCTAGTTGCTGTTAGGAACAGAAGGTCCCCATGCCCAAAGCTCAGGAACCATAGTCAGTCAGTGCTTGCTATTGCCAATGTTAGTTGCTGCTGGGAGCTGAGGCCTCTATTAGCTGCTGAGTGTTACGCTAATGGAAACCAAGGCTTAGCGCTAGATCTGGCCTGAGCACCTAGAACTGTAAGTTTCTGGCTTCAAGATTTGGGAGCTGCCTGATGTGGTAATGCACACCTATTATCCCAGCATTTGAAAGCCTGAGGCAGAGGATCCTGAGTTCAAGGTCACCTGGGCTACATAACCAGACCCTGTCTCAAAAAACCAAGACAAACAGAAGACAAAAAAAGAGCTGGGAGCCTTAAGTCTCTAGTCCTCAGAGCCACAAACTGTGACCCTGTGAGTCTGCTCACCCAGCCCTCAGGCTGTCAACACTGAGGAAGCCACACTTCTATCCGTGAATTTCCACCAGCAGTTGTTTCATTAAATCTTAAAGAACCTCTCTACCCAGAAGTTTGTGAAAGCATATTCTGCCACTGTTTATTTTATTTTATTTTATTTATTTTATTTGTGGTACTGGGGCTTTAACTCACAGCCTACACCTTGAGCCACTCCACCAGTCCTTTTTTGTGATGGGTTTTTTGAGATAGGGTCTCCATGGAACTATTTGCCTAGGTTGGCTTCGAACCTCGATCCTCCTGATCTCTGCCTCCTGAGTAGCTAGGATTATAAGTGTGAGCAACCCGCACCCAGCTTTGGGTTTTGTTTTTTAACAGGCAGGGTCTCAATATATTGTCAGGCTGGCCCCAAATTCCTGGGTTCAAGAAATCCTTCCATCTCAGCCTCTTGAGTAGCTGCAACCACAGGTGTTCACTTTTGTGCTTAGCTTGCTGCTGGGTTTTTATTTCACTGTGGATATGAGTGAGACAAAAAGAGGGCAGGGCAGGGAGAAAGCTGGTCAGGGACAGCCCCAACTCTGAAGGATGCAGTAGACACCTACCCAGCTATCCCATCAGGCCAGCCCCATAGGAACCTGACACACGGGGTTCTTTTTTAAATGTACAAGATACCTTTAAGAAAAGCCAATAGCTAGGCACTGGTGGCTTAGAACTGTAATCCTAGCTACTCAGGAGGCAGAGATCAGGAGGATTGACGTTTGAAGCCCACCTGGGCAAATAGTTCCATGAGACTCTATCTCGCAAAACCCTTCACAAAAATAGGGCTGGTGAAGTGGCTCAAGGTGAAGACCCAGAGTTCAAGCCCCAAGTACCACAGGACAAAAAAAAAAAAGAGAAAAACCAAAAAACTTGCCTTTGCTTTGTTCATATCAGTGCATCGTGATTTTGAGCCATCATATCTTTTCATAATCTCTGTTTGGGGGTTTATGAAAGTTAAAGTCTTTGACTGGTGTAAATTAGCCAAATCTTTTCAAGGGTCTGTGGGTACCTAAAACATAAACAGATAGGTTTTGTTGTTGTATAATCTCTGCTGTTTTCAGGGTCATTGTTTCTTCAGTCAAATAGTTGTTTCAGTCAAAGAAAAAATGATGACCTCGAAACTTCCTTTTAGCTTCAAAAGCAGCTCCCAACCTGACTGATGAAAAGCAATCTGTTCTCTCTTAAAAGCGCAAAAGCACATGGCTCAGCCTTAGGGCAGAGGGGTTGGACTGGGGGGATGGGGGAGGGTGGGGATTGAATTCAGAGTAAATAGTTTGTGAGACCCTACCTTATGAATGGCTTTTTTTTTTTTTTTTTTTTGCAGCACTAGGGTCTGAACTCAGGAACTCAGTTTGCTAGGCAGGTGCTCTACCATTGAGCCACCTCACCAGCCCTTTTTTTTTTTTTTTGCTCAGCCTTGGTTTTATTTTTTATTATTTTTTCCTTTTTCTGTGGTACTGGGGTTTGAACTCAGTGCCTAAACCTTGAGCCACTTCAATCAATCCTTTTTTGAGATGGGGTTTTTCGAGATTGGGTCTCAGGAACTATTTCCCTGGGCTGGCTTTGAACCTTGATCCTCCTGATCTCTGCCTCCTGAGTAGCTAGGATTAGAGGCTTGAGCCACCGGCACCTATCAGCCTTGGTTTCTTAGATATTCTCCACTCAGTTACATGGATGTTTGATATTTATGTTACCCGAAGTAACTCTACCCTGGAAAATGGTGACTGCCACATCTTATCTACTGCACCCTGGACTCAAGCTGGCAGGCTTTTGTGAATGTTCAGAAAATGACAATTGAGCCAGGGAAGTGGCTCATGTGGTAGAGCGCCTCCCTGGCAAGCCTGAGGTTCTGAGTTCAATTTCCAGTACTGGAAAGAAAAAAAAAGAGAGTTCAGTCAAGAAAGGCACATTAGCTTTGAATATTATGCTTCAGGTCAAATGCACAATTTCAAGATCATCAGTGCTGTGTCTAGTATTACTGTTGTGGGAGTTTGCTAGCTGAGATATGGCACTCTTCAGGCAATTCATTTTATTGTGCCAGCAGACTTGGCAGACTCATGTCCAAAGGCTCAGCCTCGAGAACAAAGGGGTCTCACCTTATATACCCTTGCAAGCAGGTTACAGAAGCAAAGAGCAAGTTCTAATCCATATATGGTTATATTTAATTTTATTGGCTACTTTACCCTAATGTTATGTGACTTTCCCCTCCCTGGTGCTACATGACCTTCCTCATGTTCAGATTTGTCAGGTTTTATCTCTCTGCTATGCCATCCCTACCTCCCTGCTACCTTCTCAGGACTCAGGCCTAGACTGTTTTCTTCTGATCCTCCTCCCTGCTACATTACAAATGTTAAACTTCCTTGCAGGTAATGGCTTTTATACACCTGGGAACTGCCCAAGGCTGGGTGTTAGGTGAACATTTTTGTTTTAAAAGTTGAGCGTGTGTGTTTTACTCGCGATCTCGTCTTAGAGCAGTAAAATTCACAGGAGCGCTGCCAACATGCAAGCAGTCATGGATCCACAACAGCTTCCGCCCTTCCATTATCGCAGGCCGGCCTCTGAGAGAGCGGTTCCCTTCGTCTGGGAAGCCATCCCACAGCCTCCCTCAATGTCCTCCCTGCCTAATTTAGCTCTACGCTCAGTCACCTGCTAGGTGACTACATGACCTTTCTCATGTTCAGATTTCTCAGGCCATCCCTACCTCCCTGCTACTTTCTCAGACCTAGACTGTTTTCTTCTGATCCTCCTCCCTGCTACATTACAAATGTTAAACCTCCTTGCAGGTAATGGCTTGGAGGTATGGGGAGACAGGGTGAGAATTGGAACTCCCGCCCCAAAACAGGACTGGATGCCCGGTTGCACACGGACTCCGCGCGTGTCCCTCTAGGAATTGTAGTTCGAGGCCTCCTGCGCAGGCGCAGCCCTACCCGGTGGCGGACGGGGCTAGCATAGCCCGCGCTCGGCCCCCTGGGGGTTGTAGTTCGAGCTCCGCAGACGCAGTATTGACGGGTGTGAGCTGCAGCCTTCTCCCTCATATCTAGAGCGACGTGGAGAAGGGAAACTAAGCCTGACCCGATCCGACAGACCGCGTTTGGATTGCAACCCTCGATGCTAACGCACAAATGTCCTGAGCGGGCCGGGCAAGCGCGGGAGCTAACGGAAGTGGATGTGGGGAACTCTGGGAGGTGTAGTTCTGCGCTCCTATGCGCAGGCGCAATCCCTACTGGTGGCCCCCACGGCCTTTGTCCTGAAGGTGAGATGGGGTGAATGAGAAGGGATCTAGTCAGGCGGGGTCTGTTCTGGGGGGGCTGGGAAAGGGAGTCTTCCCTGAGGCAGAGCGAATACACAGTTTCGCACGTCCGTGTGGCGTCCCTTTTGTTTCTTTAGTCTTGGGGGCGTCGCTTTGGGGACCGCGGGGGCGGGGCCGAGTGGGCGGGGCCAGGTCTTTGAGGGTCTCGGGATTCGCGTGGAGGAATTGAGGTTGGGACTGCGGATTTTGACTTTGGAGGAAGGGTTAGGGTTCCCCGTCTTGGGACACAGTCTTGACCCTTCGGAGACTGGCCTGACCGGCCTTGGGACATCCAGGGTTGAGGGGATGGTGCAGGCCGAGGTCTCATCCCTGGAGCCTGCCACAGTCCAAGACTTAAGACCCACTGAAGCAAGAGACTTCTCTTCCAGCAGCGATCACCATACTGCATGTTCGCTGCTCCTGGGTTCTATTTTTAGCTTTCTTTCCCCACCTTAATCCTATAATCTCTTCCATGGCCCTCTAGGCTGGATGCTGGGTTCTTACCCTCATTTATGGGTGAGGGAAACTGAGGCATACAGAACAATGCCTGGGTACCCCATAGCCATCTGGTTTCCCGTCAATAACAATTACCTTTGCACCAGAGGATGTGAATGCCCTGGCCCTCAGTTTCCTTGTCTGTGGAATAGGGTAGGGAAATGTGAGACCACCCTCAATAGCACCTGGAAATATGCTTGGAGGAGCATGCAGCCAGAGCTCTGGAAATACCAGGCCGAGGTTTCACTTGTGTCAGGTTTTGCCCTGGGTACTTGACTCCAGTGTCCCACAGCCACAGCTCCAGGGCAGGAGTTGTGTCTGGGCCATTTGGTCACTGCAGGTTTCAGCTCATCCTCTCATATCTCCTTTCCCTTCAGAATTGGAGTTGGCTTTTCCCACAAGAGGCCAGAAAACCAGGGGATGACCACTGGGCTCCTCACCACCAAGGCCCTGGTAAGTGTGCTGTCATCCTCACACACAGTTCTCTCAGGGCCCCACAGATGCCCTTAGCTGGGATCCCCACCAGGCTTTTTCTGGCCCCAGGCCTTTGCCCTAAGTTGTGCCCCAGCCAGGAGCACACTTTAGTCAGCTCCACACCAATCTGTAGGTTTCACAGTTGGTTCCTTACCTGTAACAGGCTACCTGAGGTTGAGGTGTTTATAAAGAACACAAATTATTGATTCATGGTCTTGGACACAGAAGCCAAAGGTGCTGGTAGGTTTGCAGATTCTGACTCCAAGATGGCACCTGAATGCAGTGACCTCCACAGAGGAAGGACATTCCAAGGCAAAGAGCAGAAAGACAAAAAGGGGTGGAATTTCCCCTTTCATAATGGCATCCATTCCACCCATGAACCTGCTGGAAGAAACCAGCTTCTTGTAGGATGTTAGAAAACAAATGGAAGCCTTTCTCTGAATATTGTGTTGTTACCCCAACGGTTAAATGTCCAAAATTGAAGATTAAGAAACAGTAGTCTCCGGGGTCCTCCTGGAATTGGATTTCCCCCCAGAGCCTCCAGATAAGAACTCAGTTTGTTTGACACCTTGTTTTTAATCCATGTGAGACCTTGAGCAGAGGATTCAACCTCTTAAAAGTACCAAGCCTTTTTTGTCTGTTAATTTGAGACAGGGTCAGGGTCATGCTATGCAGCCCAGGCTGGCCTTAAACTTTTGATTCTCCTGCCCCAGCCTCAAGAGTACTGAGGTTATTTTTTTTCTTTTAATTTCTCATTTTTTTTCAAGGGCTTTGTTTACTTATGTATGTGTAGATTGAGCATCCCTGATCTGAAAATATAAAACTCAAAATTTGGCTCAGAAAGTTTTGGATTTTCAGATTAGGGATACCCAACCTTTAAAATCTATTCAAATATTCTAAACAAAAATGAAACAAAAAAGTCCAAAATCTGAAACACTTCTGGTCCCACGCATTTCAGATAAGAATATCCACATGCGATTTTGGCCACCAGGGGTAAGCAGCCTCTATACCTAACCTGGCTGATGGTCTCATTCACCACCTGCCCCCACCAGCAGCCAGTGCCAGGCTGGATATGCTGAGGATACTTATGTGATGTTTCAGAAGCAAGTGACCTTTGAGGACATGAGGACCTTTGAGGAATTCACCCAGGAGGAGTGGGGGCAACTGGAGCCTGCCCAGAGAACCATGATGTGATGCTGGAGATCTTTGGTCTCTGTGGGTAAGGCCACATCTCTGTGCCTGTTGATCTGTCCACAGCATGGATTCTAAATTTTTCTCAGTTAAAAATGGGATAGGGTTCAGCTATAAAGGCAAATACCTCCTGGACCGAGTTTAGGCTTCAGAAACTTGACTGCTTTAGTGTAGGAAATATCAAATAGGATCAATATTAGTAAGTCACAGACAAGATCTGAAAATACGAGAAACAGAGACATACTGACCCCCCTGGTGCCAGAATTACAGAGTAGGTATGGGTTTTCCCTCGGTGCTCTTAAGAGCCCCCTCACCCCACCTCTTTCCTTTATCTCTTTGGGCTGCTATAAAAAAATACCCTAGACTGGGTAATTTATAAATAGAAATGTACTGTTCCCTGTTCTGTAGGATGGGAAATCCAAGGTCAGTGTGCCAACAAATTCGGTATCTGGTGTGGACCTATTCATCATTGACAGCACCTACTTGCTGCCTTGCTGCTCCTCAAATGGTGGAAGGGGCAAGGGAACTCCCAAAGCCTCTTTTGTAAGGGAGCTAATCTTGTTAGTGAGAGTGACATGTTTGCTTCTGAAAGACTCCATCTCTTAATACTGTCACATTGAGTATTAGGTTCCAACATAAGATTTTAGGGGAATCATCATTCAACCAGAGCAACCTCTTCTTGGTCTATTTCCAGATATGCCCTTTGGAAGAGGACAAGACAGCTACTAGGAACCTTTCTTGGGTCCAAGGCCATCAGAAAAGACAGGTCCATGTTCTAGACATCTACCAAAAACTTCTGGGTTGTCTTGGTTTGGTTGCCAGGTCACCTACACTGTGGTCATTGTTGCCAGCTGGAAGGGAGGAGGAAGGGCTCTAATGTCCACCCCAGAACAAAAGGTGGGTGAAAGCCTCAGAGTGTGGGAATGGAGTCCCCGATGGACATCAGGACCTGAAAGATTGCAGGTGGGTGCCAAGGGTCAGGAGGGTCCTGGGATGCAAATGCTCATTTCATGGATCTCCTCCTGAGCAGGATTTTGGTTCCCAAAGCCAGATGTCATGGGCAGTGGACTCTGGTATTACCCAAGGTATGGAGCCCTGAAGGGCTAGGAAGAGCCCACCCACCCATAACTCTAAGTTTCTCTCTTGTTTCTGCTCCCTGTTTCTTTGCAGAAAATTCACTACCTAGTCTTTTAGTGAACATTAGCCAAGCACCCATTTTGCCATAAGTAAAACTGAGTCACCATCTTCACAGAATTTGTATTCTTGGTCAAAGAGAAGGGCACCTGATAAAGCAATAATAACAGTGAGTAAGATGATTACAGACTGTGGTAGAATAAAGACTAGGAGGTGTTGGGGGAGACTTTTAAAGGGGACTTTGGCAGAGAGGTGAAACAGCCTCCCTAAATAAGTGACATATAGCCTGAAGCCTGAGCCATGAGACAATCTGAGAGAAAGGCCCTGAGGTGATGCATCAGTCAACTGTTTCTGTATAACAAACACTCCAACCTCACTGGTTTAAACCAAAGAATCATGTAATGACCTGTGCATCTGTGTGTTGGTGATCCTAGCTAGGCTCTGTTGTGTGACTGTAGTTTGGTGGGCTTGTTCTGCTTTTTTGCCTTTTGCCAAACTCTTGGGTCCATAAGGCAGTTTTGTAGAAAGTGAGGGCATCCCAGCCCCTGGCAAGCAGTTCCCCATTGGCCTCAGGCCCTCACCCTGTTTGAACAGTAGTAGCAGTTCCAAGAGGGATGCCCAGTGTGGAAGGGCATCTCAACAGAGTTCCCCAACCTCAGTGCAACTAGCTATCACCCAGCATATTAGTTTCCTATCAGTGCTGTAACAAATTACCACAAACCTGGTAGCTTAAAGCAAAGTAGATTGTCCTACAGTTATAGAAATCAGAGATCTAAAATGGGTCTTACTTGATATAGTCAGGGTGTCCGCACGTCACTTTTCCTTCCAGAGCCTGTGGGGAGAATGCATTTTCCACCTTCCAGGGACTACCCATATTCTCTTGCCTTGTCCATCTTCAAGTCAGCAGTGGCTGGTCATGTCTTGCATCATGTCACTCTGACTCAGTCTCCTGTCTCTCTTTCCATATTTAAGGACTGATATAATTATATTGGACTGGGATGGTGGAGCATCTCAAGTGGTAAAGCACCTGCCTAGCAAGCATCAGGCCCTGAGTTCAAACCCCAGTACTGCAAAAAAGCAAAAAAAATTACATTGAGCTGACTGGACAATCCAAGATAATCTCTCTCTCTTTCTCTCTCTCTGTCTCTTTCTCTCTCTTTCTTTCCCTCTCCCCCCTCCTCTCTCTTGTAGTGTCAGATGATCACCACCTTAAGCCCTCCTTACCATGTAGGGTAACAGCATATTCAGGTTTGGGTTGTTACAATGTGGATACTTTTAGAAGAAGCCATTTAACCATACATGACTTTGCCCTTTTTTTTTTTAAAGTTTCCATGAACCATAACACAATACATAGAGGTCCCCACATCACATCTCCAGGTCAATCCAATGTCAGGATGGGGACAAGCATGCACTGAGGCCATGCCTATGGGGAGTGGGCTAGGTATCAGGGCAAAAGTCAGTCCTGCCAGGAAGGAGGAAAGAATGCATTTGCTGTTCATTCAGTATGTCTACACAGCTTCTGCTGTGGCTAGGAGCCGAATGGTTGTTCAGGTGTACAGAAACTCCTGCCTTCAGGTCTCAGTTAGAATAAACCAGGTGGGAGTACACTAATGTACCACAGGTCATTTGTCTGCCCTAGCGATGGACATTGCAGCTATCTCTAGTTTGGGTTTCTATCTCTGGGGTGAGATGGTCGAGCAGTGACATGCAGCCAAGAAGAAACTGTGTGGGTCTCAGGAGCAGAAGGGCTAGACTAAGCAGTCCCTCCCCAGATTGCAGCTTTTCTTCTGTTGCCACCTCGCACAGTGGAAGCTGCAGGAGTGGCTGTCACTGCTGCTCCTTCTAAGCCTGGTGCCTCTGTGGATGTTTTCCTTGTATGCTGTCTCCTCGGTGTCCTTTTCCCAACCTCTGTATTCTCCTTGAAAACTTGATCATATACTAATGCCATCCTGTCCTAGGTTTTTTTTTTGAGGGGTTGGTTTTGTTTTGTTTTGCTTTGTTTTAGACAAGGTCTCACTGTGTAGTCCAGGCTGGCCTCAAATTTGCAGCCCTGCCTCAACCTCCCAAGTGCTGGAATTATAGGGTTATGATACCATGCCTAGCTAAAAACTGTATTTTTATTTATGTATTTTATTTATTTATTGGTGGTACTGGGGTTTTGAACTCAGAGCCTCACACTTGGTAGGCACTTAAGCCACTCTGCCAGCCCTTTTCTGTGAAGGTTTTTGTTTTTGTTTTTGTTTTTTTTTGAGATAGGGTTTTGGGAACTATTTGCCCAAGCTGGCTTCAAACCACAATCTTCCTGATCTCTGCCTCCTAAGTAGCTAAGATTACAGGTGTGAGCCACTGGTGTCTAGCTAAAAACTGTATTTTGAAATGATCAAAGCCACTTGTGCTTTGAACTTTTCAAAATCATCAGTTTAATTTTTCCACCTCCTATACCGCAAACTTTTCCCCCAGAAGAGGAATTAAGGGACATTTTGCTCTTTTGTTTCTTTCACTCAGAAATCATACAAGAAACCAAACTGTCAGCCCCAAAGCAAGGCCTCTCTGGAGAACCACCCAATAGTGTTGCTCTGGTGGAAAGACTGGGGGGCAGTGCGTAGTGCTCCCAGTGTGAGGAAACTGTGGGCTCATGTGGCCAGAGCCAGACTGTGCCAGCAGCCTTCACACCTGTGAAGATGCTCACTCAGGAGCAGCCAGAGGATGGGTTTGGAGAAAATGTGAGTCTGAATCCTGATCTCCCAACTCAACCAGCAGCTCCTGAAAGGCAAGGCCCCCATATGTGGGGAACACAGAGAAAGAGGGAGAAGCTGGACTCAAATATTCAACAGAAAACCTATGCAAAAGAGAAACTTTACGAATGTCAGGAATGTGGAAAGGCCTTTAGTCACAGCTCAGCACTCATTGAACACCATCGGACACACACAGGAGAGAGACCTTATGAATGTCTCCAATGTGGAAAAGGCTTCCACAACAGCTCAGCTCTTACCAAACACCAGAGGATCCACACTGGTGAGAAACCCTATAAATGCTCTCGGTGTGGCAGGACCTTCAATCAAATTGCCCCATTGATCCAGCACCAGAGGACTCACACAGGAGAAAAGCCCTATGAGTGCAGTGAATGTGGAAAGGCTTTCAGTTTCAGGTCCTCCTTCAGCCAGCATGAGCGAACACACACAGGAGAGAAGCCCTATGAGTGCAGTCAGTGTGGGAAGGCCTTCCGCCAGAGCATCCATCTCAGCCAGCACCTGCGGATCCACACCGGGGAGAAACCCTACCAGTGTGGAGAATGCGGCAAGGCCTTTAGTCACAGCTCATCCCTAACCAAACACCAGCGAATCCACAGTGGAGAGAAGCCCTACGGGTGCCACGAGTGTGGAAAAGCCTTCACCCAGATCACACCACTGATTCACCATCAGCGGACACACACAGGAGAGAAGCCCTACGAGTGCAGTGAGTGTGGAAAGGCCTTTAGCCAGAGCACACTGCTGACTGAGCACCGGAGAATCCACACAGGAGAGAAGCCCTATGGATGCAATGAGTGTGGGAAGTCCTTCAGCCACAGCTCCTCACTCAGCCAGCATGAGCGGACGCACACGGGAGAGAAGCCCTATGGATGCAGTGAGTGTGGGAAGGCCTTCCGGCAGAGCACCCACCTCACTCAGCACCAGAGAATCCACACCGGGGAGAAGCCCTATGAGTGCAGTGACTGTGGCAAGGCCTTCAGTCACAGCTCATCCCTAACCAAACACCAGCGAATTCATACTGGGGAGAAACCCTATGAATGCAACAAGTGTGGCAGAGCCTTCAGCCAGCTCGCTCCCCTCATTCAGCACCAGAGGATCCACACAGGAGAGAAGCCCTATGAATGCAACGAGTGTGGCAGAGCCTTCAGCCAGAGCTCCCTCCTCATAGAACACCAAAGGATCCACACCAAGGAAAAGCCCTACAGGTGCAATGAATGTGGGAAATCCTTCAGTTACAGCTCATCATTAAGTCAGCATGAGAGGGCACATACCGGGGAGAAGCCCTACGAATGTCATGAGTGTGGAAAGTCCTTCAGGCAAAGCACCCACCTCACTCAGCACCGGAGAATCCACACTGGGGAGAAGCCATATGAGTGCAGTGAGTGCGGCAAGGCCTTCACACATAGCTCCTCCCTTACCAAGCATCAGAGAATTCACACTGGGGAGATCCAATACAAGTGTGCTGGGGGTGTGAGGAAGCCTTAAGCCACAGCCCATCCCACATTAGAGTTGATCTTGTTGTCCTCATGAGAAACAGCACATACTTATACACAAGCCTTCGCACACCACACACCCCACTCCCCAGACACCCTCAGATCTAAGCAGGAGGAAAACATGGTGATAATCAACACAGGAGGCCTTCAACCTTTAGTACCCATTAATGTTACATGATAGAACCTACAAAAGAGAACTCAAATATAGTGACTGGTAATGGTCTCTGTCTTGGCTTCTGTCCAAGCATTTACTATATTCTGAACAGAGATGTTCAAAGTGATGAGAAGCGCATCAGATGTCTTTCAGAGAACCAGAGGAAGTCAGTTATTATTGCACATTATGTTCCTGGGGAGGAATACTTACGAATAGTTCAAGTTCACGCTGACATTCCTAAAACACAACACAGCAAAGTGCTCCCGAAAAGAGAGCACTTCACGGAATCAGTATGGATACTTTTTTTGTTGTTGTTGTCCTTTTTTTTTGGTGCTGGGATTGAACCCAGGGCCTTGTGTGTGTGAGGCAAGTGTGCTGCCACTGAGCTGCATCCCAGCCCTCAGTATGGATATTTGTCTGTCTTAATACAAAGCTGATTTCTAAGACAGCTGTTTGATCAGGGTATTTGTCAGTCCCACAGATCTGAATTCCATATGGCAAAGTATAAGCATACTATGAACAATTTAAATTAGGTATCTTAATTTACAATAAATTTTTATGTGCAGTGGGATTGAAAAGCTTCATATGGGAAGACTTAAAGCTACTTCCATGGAGTCTTTCAGATTCTGAGGTGGCTTTTGCTGCTCTGTTTTCTACAAATTTTAGTGCAGGACTCAGGTGTTAGAAATGCAGATACTGCTGTTTTACCAAAGGGGAGGATTTACCCTTTTGTTTAAAAATCATCTCACAAGCAATAGCACCTCACATGGGACCCCTGTTTTTCAAGATTTCTCTTTGGGGGGAAATGTACAAGTTAATGCTCTCCTGAACAGATTTTCCATTGATTCTTCAGTTAGCTTCTGTCTTTATATTTAACTTGAAAGGCAATGGTATTTCATTATGACAGATCCACAAACAGCAGTCTATCTGACAACTACAACCTTTATGTAATGATGACTTTGCACCTTCATTAGAAACTGCATTGGCTGGTTTTGGTCCTCAGCCATCAGTTGTGCTTATATCAGTTAGTTTGATGTTCCCAACACAGTGCTGGGACACAAATTCTAGTTAACCTGAAGTTTCTTTCGGCAAGACCATGTTGCAAATAGTATTCTGATAGTAGTCTTTGGTATGGGATGCCTTTTTTGAATTAAATTTATTTAAAAGCTACTTAAGAAAGTAAATAGTGCATAGCAACACTCAAATAGAAATAAGACAAGAAATTAGTAACTTTAAATACTTCATTAAGTACTTAATTAAGTCCTATTTAAAAAGCAACAAGAGCTGGACAGGGTGGTGTACACCTATAATCTCAGTACTGTGGAAGTGAAGGCAGGATTGTGAGACAAGCCAGCCTAGCTACATAGTGAGAAACTGTAACACAGTAAAAATCAAGAATAAACAAGTAAAATTAAATATTCACCCCTGTATGCCCCATGTTACTATTTTCACACAAATAAAATGAGATACTTTCCATTCTTTCCATATATACTGCATCTTTGAAATTCAGTGTGGATTTCACATGGGTACTACATCTCAGTTTCACTATATAGCCACACATTCAATTGCTCTCTGGACATCTGCCCAGCCTGTGGCTGTCCTGGACAGGGCAGTTCATAGCTGGTCCTTGGGTCAGCTACTTGGGCCTCCTTCTCTTTGTTGCATTGCATGAATCCTCCTCCTTTTCTTCTTGTCTTCAAAGAAAGCAGATGAATCAGGGGAATCAGCTTAAGTAAATGGCAGGACAGGCTCCTGGTCCTAAATCAAGTGTAGACCTAAGTACTATCTTTCAAACCCATGAGTCCATTTCCAGTAATAAAGACCAGTAACTGGGGAGAGGAGAGAGTGCTAACTTGCAGCAGAATGATAAGGCAATAGGGAAACATCGAGTGCTGCTGTGTGAAAACCACTTGGTAACCTGCATGGTAAAGATGGATGCAAGCAGGAATCAATAGAAGCCAAATACAGGGGTAGAATTTTGATGAGCAGGATACTGGCATGATCTTAAAGTATCTTCCCACAGGTTGCTTTTTAGCTGAAAGAAACCACAGTAGAGAAACTGAATACTTTGAACAGATGAGGATAAGCAGTGTCACAACAGGAGCAACATGGACACCGCACCCTCAGACGAGTGAGCATGGCATATGCAGAGCATGGGTATGTGGGGGTTTGCCTTTTCTGTAAGTTCAGGTTTTGGGAGGTATCATGAGGAAATCTCCCAGCAGCAGGGTAAGGCAGGCTGACAGGTCATGCTGTAAATGAGACAGTACAGTGAGGCTTTTTTCTTACCAGAGCCACACTCAGCTTGGGATTTGGACATGGACAGGCTAAGGGAGGAACTTGGCTCAGTAACTGGCAGACAGGCATCTGGGTAGATGTTCTCAGACAGATGACACAGCCATGGGATCATTCCTCTCCAGGAATGCATCTTCTCCCAGGTGAAGGGTGTAGGCTTCTCCACATGTACCAAGGATCCAGTGGAGAGCAAACTGCAGCAGGGAGGGAACCTGGATCCCAGTGTCACTGCATGGAGCAGTGCTCCCTCCCCAGAACACACAAGCAGCAGCAGAGTCACAAAACAATGAGTTGTAATATGAGTGAAGAAATAAAATAGTTTATTATATTAAGCTTCTGTGATTGGGGGTTGTTACACAGATTGCTTATTTAAACACTGACAGAAAGAGGCACCAGTTTCTGTATCTACAGGGAACAATTAAATTTATGGTCAGGCAACGAAACAATACTGTAATCTGAGGTTAAATGCAAATCAAAAGATGACCTATGCAGGCCAACTTTGGTTCCTTTTTTGCTTAGGCAGACAGATCACTTCATCAGCCTTTATTAGTGTTTTTAACCTATTTTGATCACAACCCCCTAGTAAGAAATATAGTTTACATGGTAGCCAGCTCTCATATTTAGATACACAGCTGAAAAGTTTCACAAAACAATACTTGCCTTTACTACATGATGCATTCTGAACTACTTTACTCTACTCCATTGCTTTGTAATGCCAGGGGCCACCCACTAATCTGATTTCACAATTCACTGATGGGTTGGAACCCACAGTCCAAAAACCCTGTGCTAGGCTCCAAGTATCTTTGCAAGCCACACCATACAGAAAGAGACATGAGTTGAAATAAGAAACAGTTTCTGGTTTGTGAGTTTAAAAGTGAACTTGATATCACATATTTACAAAAAGGCCAAAACAGATGGCAAGAATTCTGCTTGAACAAAGTTGGGGAGCTCAATGAGGAGCAATCGAGGCAAGGATGACTTCAAGAAAGCGCTGACAGATCACACACACTTTAAGGCAACTCTACACTTTGCACAATGTCAAATGATCCAGCATACAGGTGGTGCTAAATGCTGTGGTCTTCCTTCACTTCACATCTGATGACTTACACAGATGTGTTTACAAGGTGAGGGCTTCCTGTGGACCCTTCTTAGTTTTAAGTGCTTTCAGCCACATTAGCATTTAGAAAATAAATAGACACCAAAGGAAGCCACCACCCAAGCATTTGGAAGGAGCTGCATACATTTCAGGATTCCCAGCCAGCCAAAACTGTCTCCTTGGAACACATGGAGCAGAGAGGCTCATCTCTACCCCTCAAGGTTGCACACGGAAAACACCACTTGTACACCATGGAACCGCTGATCCACCAGTGTGGGTTTCACTTGTGGCAGGGTGTAGCATTTCTCCTTTTTCTTCTTGGAGTGCTGAGCCAGGGTCAGGCTGGAGCAGAAGGCTTCCTAGCAGCCCTGGCTTGCATAGTGCTTCTTACTGCTGTGGCTCCTGTGATGGTCAATGAGATGTGAGATCCACGCAAAGGCCTCCCCGCACTCACTGCAGGGGTAAGGCTTCCCTTGGAACGCACCAGGCTCATCAGCTACAGAGCAGCCCACAGCAGAGGTACCTGGGTCCTGCCCAGTCGGGGACCCTGCAGCGTACCCCCCCTTTTCGAGCTCCCTCCCCACACTGGAGGAACACTCAGGGCTCAGATCATCCTCATAATCGGGATGGGGCCTCTTTGTTCCAGTGCTTGGCTGTGGGGTGCCTGGCCCACCTGGCTGCCGGATGACTGACTGTCTCTTGGAGAAGCTGGCAGAGCTTGATTCCTCAAGCTCTTCCTCCTGGGTGGTGTCCAGCGACGTGGTCACAGGAACATCCCCTGCCAGCCTCTCCATCAGTGTCTCACACAGGGAGACGTCCTCACACATGTTCTCTTCACTTTCCTGACGCCTGCCACCACCTGAAATAAGGTCAGAATGAGCAATCCTGATTCCCAAGGCTAAGACCCAAACTACCTTCTGAGCAGAAGAATTAATACAGTACAAAGGCCTGAGCAAAGGCAAAAAAGGGCCTATCAGACAAACAGTGATGTGTACATCAGGTGTACTCTGAGGTGTACATCCTAATGGCCCTCTTCACAACACAGACAAGATCAGACAGCTGAGTGCATCTGCCCCCAGTCCGTTTTCCCTTCTTCAACATTCCCTGAATGTGAGCTGAGCTCATAGCTGCCTGGAATACTCACTCCCAGATTGCCATCCAGCAAAGTGACCAAATGACTATGTTCTGGTCAGTGAGTTGTGGGGGTAGGAAGGGGCCTCCTTCTCAAGGCTGTGGAGATGAGAGCTAGAGAATCCTCTCTGGACAGTGAGGTGACTATGGCAATGAAGGTACACAAAAAAACTGTGAGATGGGGGAGCCCATGTCTGTGACCAGGAAGAACCAAATGAGACCTGTAGTAAACCAACTTGTTTACTGGTGGCCCCCATGAACCAGTCCCCCAGGAATCATGCCCTGGGACGGTCTCTTGCTCACTGGCTCAGCCACGTGATCCACTACTGTGGCCAATGGAACATCAGCATGCAGGATGCAAGCAGACACATGGCAAGTGCTAACATCCCTGAAACCCAACTGCATCCTGTGAGAATCCCAAGCCAGCCACGTGCAGGGACAATGGGAAGAACCTAAGTCCCACAGCCTCAGCTCATCTCCCCTTTGAGAGCTGGCACCAACTGGCAATGTGTGAGTGGCCCTTGAAGTCAGCAAATGGAGCCAAAGGGCTGCATGGTTAAGCCAAGCCAGCCCAGAAATCACAACTAATCCTGCCATTTTTTTTTTTTTTGGGTGACCAAGTTTTAGGGTGGCTTGTTATGCAGCAAGAAATCACTGAGTGCCTGGATTTGTCTCACAGAGACAAAAAAAGCAAGAAATCACAGAGACTTCAATGTCTCTGTCAAGTGAAGAATGTCAAGTGAAGTCATAGCTGAGGTCTGCACCAAGGCTGACAGAGTTGTGAGGAGTCCCACCAGCCTGGGAAAGAGAGGCACACCTTGACCATCACTTTCAACTCAACCTTACCTGGGAGGCTGCCTCCTGGCAATTCTTCCACTGCAGGAAGTTCCTCTGACTCCATCTGGGAGGCGGCATCAGACCCAAGCTGATATCCTGAGTGAGGTTAAAAAAAGAAAAAACTAACTGGTGTCAGTGGATCACACCTGTAATCCTAGATACTCAGGAGGCAGAGATCAGGAGGATCAAGGTTCAAAACAAATAGTGTGATAGACCCTTCTTGAAAATACCCAACATAATACAGGGCTGGTGGAGTGGCACAGGATGGAGCAGTAGAGTGCCTGCCTAGCAAGCATGAGGCCCTGAGTTCAAACCCCGGTACCATTAAAAAAAAAAAATCAACAAAAGCACCTGGAGGCCTCACATACTGTGGACTGGTTGGGGCTGGGATTGCAACCCATCTTTTTCTCTGCACTGAGACACACTCCAAAGCTGCCCTCCAATCAGAGCCCCTAAAAAACTGGGGGTTCTGAGAACAGGGCAGCAGAGATAGATCTGCGTAAGTGGGGCTAAAAGAACTAACAGGGCAGGTAGGATGTGGGAGAATCTAGGGGGAAGCAAAGCTAAAGAGGGAAGAACACTAAATTGGGGTGGGAGTGTAGCTCAGTGGTAGAGCACGTGACTAGCATGTATGAGGTCCTAGGTCAATCCTCAGCACCAACAAAATGAAACAAAAACATAAAATTAGAACTATAATAGGCTCAGGAGTGTACTGGAGCCTCCTGCAAAGGTGGGTTCTTGGGTAAGAACCTCTGTGAGAGAAGCCCCTACCCCAGGACCCAACTCTGTACTGATGAGGTGGGAGTGTTGGCATCTTGGGGCCAGGAGGACCTTCTAAATTAAGAAGCCTTAGTTCCCATAGGCAGAGGGTGCAAAAGGAAAATCCCAGGACCCATGCAGAATTAAAAAAAAAAAAAATGTATACCAGGATGGGTAGAGACCTTGGCAAACAAATGAGTTATGTTAAATCATGTTCAAGTTCAAACACATTTAAAATACCCTTGGTGTCCCAACCACAGCCCCTAGGGCAGGGTCAGAATTGCCAGCATCAACAATGTTGGAAGGGGACACAGGATGGAGAATGAGCCTGTTAGAGGCAGGTCTCACCCCACAGGAGTAGCTTCTTGTAGCTCTTCAGGTTCTCCTCTGAGGGATCCAGGTGGTCCCATTCTCCTGAGTGCAGAGGCTCCTCTGAGAATGACTCTGTTTTCTGAAACAGCAAGGCAGCCCCAAGACCACAGAAGGAAGGGTGGGAGCAAGCACATGCCTGCGCAGGCTTTGACCCACTCTGAGCTGCAAGAAGGCACCACTCTCCTGCAGGTCCTACCCTTGAGTTTCCACAAGAGCAGGTTTCTCACCCTTAGCACTACTGACATTTAGGCCCATAATCCTTTGCTATGGCAGAATATTAACACCTGGAAAGGGAATAATGTCAGGGAGGGACAGACCTTCCAACTTAGGGACAGGTCCTATGAGCTACTAAACAAGGTCAGCCAACAGTGGTCCCCTTTGCTCCCTGAACACCCAGTGGCCCTCACCCACCTTCAGCTCAGCTGTGGCAGGGTTGGCCTCTTCAGTCTTTTCTCCCCCCATGCGCTTCTGATCCAGAAGCATGGATTCTAGAGTCGGCCAGGCAGGGAGAAGGGATGGCAGAGCTGAGGAGACAAGCTCTCAGAAGCTGAGCATCTCCAAAACAGGCAAATCTCACTGCCACCCATCCAGACCCCAGGAAGAAGGTAAAGAGATCTAGTATGCTCATGTCACACGTCCCAAGGCTCAATGAACAGTGCATCTGTCTGCAACTGACAGAGCAAAGTGGCAAAGAAAAACAAAAACAAAAACAAAACAACATAAAGAAGCTCAAGTTCAGCAGTGGTCCCAGAAATGCCAGTTCAAGCCAGTAAAGAGGTAATGTTTTTATACCCACTACATTGATAGAAATCTTAAATGCAGTAAAACACAATGCTGGCACAGATGAGGGCAAGGGTGCCCTCCTATGCTGGCACTGTGTCTGTTGCAGTTTTTGGAAAGCCATATGGAAGTTTCTACTGTATGTGAGTGTTAAGTCACATATGCACTTTGTGCAGTGGTCAAGAGGCACCACACACAGGTATACACGTAAGGATGTTACTGCAGCCTATTCACAGGGGCAGAAACCCCAGTAAGGGCTGAGCATGTGAACACTGAGCAGCTAAAAAGCCAGACCTCTGACTGCAGCTGGCAGGGTTGCACTGTTTGAACAGCAAGCACTAAGGTACAGGTACAACTGTGCTCCCAGGACACGAACTAGGACACTCAGTTTTATTTTTAAAGAGCATAAGGGGGTGGAGAGATTACTTCTTGATATCATCAATGCTTTTTCACCATTTGTAATAAGCATATGTGGCTGGCATAACTTTAAAGAGAAATTTAGTAAAAAGTAATACATCTAATGCTATAAGGAACTATTACAAGTCCCATTACGGTACAGACTTCAGTGGCCCTCTACGTGGCCTCCCTCTGGCTCCCATACACCTCCCCCCCTTCTCCAAACCATAGACCTACCCACTCCCCACTTAAGGTCAATCATAGGCTGGCAGGCTGGTATTACTCACAAGTATCAGGGGGACCCAAGATATCCCCAGGTCTTGGGTCTCGGCTAGGGCTCAGCAGCCCCACTGGCAGCAGCAAGGGCTCAGGGTGCCTCTCATAAACTCCCTCACTGAAGGAAGAAGACGACCCTCCGGGGGAGCACAACAGCATCCCTGTGTACAACCAAGTGAAAAGTGACCCCAGAGTTTGGGATCCAAACAGTAATTCCACAGGGAGCTAGGCATAGATCACAGTTATGACCCAGAGCATGGGCTCCTGGGCCCCATCACCACCCTCAGGTCCCACCCTCAGAAATGGAGGAAATCTCCAGCCAGAGATGTACCCAGAATATTTACCTAGTTAAGAGACTGGTCCCTGCCTTTGATTGCCCCTTTCTCCTGTTTCCTATCATCTGGAAAGCAGGTGTGAGGGCAAGAGCCCAAGAAGCTGTCCTAGCCCATGATGCAACCCAGAGGGAGATGCCACTGGGCAGGCAGCAGGGCTTGGATCCAAGCTGACTGAGGAGCTACCTCATCAGCTCAGTACTGCTCATTTCTGTGCCTCTTACACATGGGGACTAAACTCTGCCAGGAAAGCCATGGCTAGGGTTTGAACTCTACACTGTAGACTCCAATCCTTCCAGGACCTCCGTTTCCTTTACAGCATGCTCTCTTCTAGGGCAGCAGCCTCACCTGGCTCCTCCAGGATGTCAGAGAGACCCTCCACTAGGGAGGCAGCCTTCTTACAGTTCTCAGGATACTGGGCCACCACCCAGGGGCGAACTCTGTCAGGCAAGATGCCCAGGAATTGCTCCAGCACCAGCAACTCCAGGATCTCCTCCTTGGAGCAGGCCTCAGGCCGCAGCCACTGACGGCACAGCTCATGGAGCCGGGCAAGAGTCTGGTGAGGCCCAGCTGCCTCCTGGTAGACAAATTCTCGGAAGCGCAGGCGGGAGAACTCAAGGTCAGCAGGAGATCTCTCAGGGATGGTCTTGTGTTCCTTTTGATGGCTGGGCTCCTCCTTCTGGGTGGGTTCTTCATGCTGGTTGGGCTCTTCCTCCTGGATGGGTTCTTCCTCCTGGGTAAGTTCTTCCTCCTGGACAGGCTCTTCCTGCTGAATAAGTTCTTCCTCCTGGGCAAGTTCTTCCTGCTGAATGGATTCCTCCTGATGGATGGGTTCTTCCTGCTGGATGGGCTCCTCTCGCTGCCTAGGTTCTTCTTGCTGGATGAATTCTTCCTCCTGGATGGGTTCTTCTTGCTGAATGGATTCTTCCTTCTGGATGGGCTCTTCCTGCCGGGTGAATTCTTCCTCCTGAATGAGTCCTTCCTGTTGCATGGACTTCTCCTGCAGATTGGCTTCTTCCTGCTGGATGGGCTCTTCCTGCTGGATGGGCTTTTCCTGTTGGATGGGTTCTTCCTGTAGGTGGGGCTCTTCCTGTTGGATGAGCTTTTTCTGTTGGATGGCCTCCTGCAAGCTGGGCTCTTCCTGCAGGATGGGCTCCTCCTGTAGGCTGCACTCTTCCTGCAGACTGGCTTCTTCCTGCTGGATGGGCTCTTCCTGCCTAATTGGTTCTTCCTGCTGAATGGGTTCCTCCGGCAGGCTGGGTTCTTCATGCTGGATGGACTCCTGCTGGATTGGTTCTTCCTGCCCACTAGGCTCCTCCTGCAGGGCAGGCTCTTCCTGCTGGATGGGCTCCTCCTGCTCACTGTGCTCCTTCTGCAGGGTGAGCTCTTCCTGCTGGATAGGCTCCTCTTGTCCACTGGGCTCCTCCTGCAGGGTGGGCTCTTCCTGTTGGCTGGGTTCCTCCTGCTGGGCTGTGTCTGCTGACCCCAACATTAGAGGTTCTGGACCGGGTGGGGAGCTCCTAGGGGAGACCAATGCCTTCTCCAAAGGCAGCATCTTCCCAGACCTCCACTGAAATGCAACTGGGTCTAGCCAAGGACACAGCAGAGACACCAAAGATGATGGAGTGCCAGGACCCAAGGATCTGCAGAGGACATTAATAAGAAAGATGCCCATGGTAAGATCCTGGCCATAGGGCATCCATTCTCCCTTCCCATGCAAAGGAGAAAAAAGCTGGCATTTCTGAACTCAATTGTGCACCCACCACACCTAGGTCTCATGAAGAATTATTTCCAAGCAGTCTACTTGTTAGTATCACTAAAACTCCAGTTTTGTACTTGTATAAGTAAAAGTTAACCTAAGAAGTGAGGGGAAACTCATTTTATAAGACTGGTAATACTAGGATGATTTTTAGAAAATCAGTCATGGAAAAGACAAAAAAAAAATTCAGGACAATATAATCTCAATTATAAGCCTAGATGTAAAAGCCTTAAAATATCAGTGAACACATTCCAACCATGCATGTTATATGATGTAGGACACATCACATCATATTAGATTTGGGTTCATCCTAGAAACATAAGGTCTATTTAACACTTAAATATGTACTATGGGGTTTTTAGTTCCCAATAATATGGGGGGCCTAGGTGCCAGGATTGCTCCTCCCAGCAAAACTATAAACCTGAAATATGTATTTAGAAAAAAAAAAAAAAGGACCAGAGACTGGTAGGTAACCACCATTTATTTCTGGAAGTGGTATAGACCTGCAGACCTGGGTTGACCAGGCCATAGGTCCAACAGAAATCAGCTAGGAGTAGGGACCATAGGGCTGTGTTCCTAGCAAACACTCTTCCAACCTGTAGCTGAATCTCTACATACAAAAGGGCAGCTGCCTACAGGAAATACATCATTCAAGATAAACCAGAATTCTGGACACTTATGTGAAATCACTTGATTGTACCTGTCAGCAAACAATGAAATAGCTAAATAAGACCTGAGCAGGTTACAGCTGGTCTTGAGCCTATGATACTCTCACTGTGACCAGCTTCTCTCAGGACCCACCTGGGCCTAAAGAGCCACAGAGCCAGCAGGAGGGAAAAGGAAGGGCTACAAAAGTCACACCCAAACCAAGTGCTAGCACTGCCTTGGCAGAACCACAGAAAGGAATAACTTTTCCTTCTAAAAATTCTTTTAAGGAAGTGAAGAAAGTCTGCATGACAATAGCTGCAGCAAAAATGTTTTCTCTGCAATCCCACTTTTACAGAAAACTACACAAAGTGATGACATGGGACCAGGGCTTGCTGACCTCTTCTAGGTAAAATTGGGGTCAGTTCTGACATTGTCCCATCAGTACAGGGGCACAGGACCTCGTGCCTGGGGGTAGATGGGGTGCTTCATTCCATTGACAGGAAATGTTCAGAACAGGCAAGTCCGTTAGAGACAGAAAGAGGATAAGTGTTTGCAGGGACCGTGGGATGAGGGATCTTTTTTGGCGGGGGACCTGGGTTTGAACTTAGTACATTGCACTTGCAAAGCAGGTACTCTACCATTGGAGCCTCACTTTCAGTCCATATTGCTCTGGTTATTTTTGGAGGTAGGGTCTCACAAACTATTTGCCTGGACTGACCTCAAACCTTGATCCTCCCTATTTCAACCTCCCAAGTAGCTGGGATTACAGGCATGAGCTGTTGGCACCTGGCCAGATGTTTTTTAGAGGCATGACAAAAATGTTCTAAAATTAACTGTTGTAATGTTGTACAATTCTATGAATTCACTAAAAACCAATGAAGTATCTATCAGACTTGATAGTACAAGCCTGTAATCCCAGCACTTGGGAGACTTTGAGGCCAAGCTGGGCTATGTAGCAAGACTGATGATGATGATAATGACAATAAGGAAGACGAGGAGGGGATCAGGAAAAGATGGAAGAGAAGGAAAAGAAGGAAGAGGAAGAGGAGGAGGAGTAGGAAGATGAGGAGGGATGAAGGAGGAAGAAAGGCAGAGGTTGAACTTTAAACTGCTTCCCTTTCTAAGACTAGTAAAGACAAGTTTAGAGGTAAGTGCAGAATTCTAAGTGCTGTGAGAAGACATTCTACACAGGATTCCATTTACCTTAAGAAAATCCATCCCATTATCACTACACCACCACCCCATCATCACCATCACTGACATCATCACCACCACCTCCCCATCATCACTATACCACCACCACCACCATCACCAACACCACCATCACCATCTGCCTCACCACCACCTCTACCACCACCATCCCATCATCACCACCACCATTATCCCACCTGCATCCCACCCATCACAACCACCATCACTACCAACTCCCCTATCTCCTCCTCCTTAATTCTTCATTCTGCCTCTCTCCTGGCCCCGTCCCAGTCCTCCACCCAGAGTCACTCTTTTCTTACCTTCTATAGTGCTGGGCTCTGAAGTGGTCTCTCCAGGAGACCTTCCCTTCATACTTCCTGCATTCCCCAACACGTTCTCAGAAGATTTTTTGGTGTTTTTCAGCACTGAGGTTTGAACTCAGGGCCTCATGCTTGCTAGGCAGATGCTTTTACTGCTTGAGCCACTTGGCCAGCAACCCCCCCAACACCTTCTCAATCCCCACCACCTTTTCATTGGCTTAGTGACTGCCTCCCCAACTGGAATGTGAGCCTTAAGAGACCAGGGGGTTCCTTACAGGCAGGTCTCTGGGTCTGGGAGTACCTGGATCAATATTTGTTGATTGCATACTTTTCTTTTTGGTAGTACTGGGGTTTGAACTCAAGGCTTTGCTCTGCCACTTGAGCCACACCTCTAGCTCTTTTTGCTTCAGGTTATTTTTTAGATAAGGTCTCCCATTTTTGCCCAGGCCAGCCTGGACCATAATCCTCCTCCTGTCTCCCACATAGATGAGACCACAGGTAGCTACAACCACAGGTGTGTACCATCATGCCCAGCTTATTTGTTGAGATAACAACAGTCTCACTAACTTTTTGCCTAGATTGGCCTTAAAATGTGATTCTCCTAGCCAGGCACTGATGGCTCACACCTGTAATCCTAGCTACTCAGGAGGCAGAGATCAGGAGGATCACGGTTTGAAGCCAGCCTGGGCAAATAGTTCATGAGACCCTATCTCGAAAAAACCCATCACAAAAAGGGCTGGTGGAGTGGCTCAAGGTGTAGGCCCTGAGTTCAAACTCCAGTACTACAAAAAAAAAAGTGATCCTCCTGATCTCCACCTCCCATGCAGCAGGGATTATAGCAGTGATCCACTGTGCCCAGCTTCATTTATTTTTTAACAGTTCATTTTTTTGTTGAGGGACATTCCTGCTATGCCTAATGGCCAATATAGGACCTTATATCCATCCACCTAGGGTCAAGTTTGTGACATATTTTAAGGATAAATGTAGAAATAAGATAACAGGGGCAACCTCACCCCTACCACCCACTGAGCCAGTGTCCACCAGAAACACCTCATGCACTGAGGACCCCTAGACCATCATATCCACTCACTTTGTAGCTCAGCACTTTCTCATCATTTCCTCTCCATGGGTGAGTAAACTGCCTACTTTTCCATGTTTTCCTTATGCTCTCTGATAGGTAAGAACTCTCTTTCAGGCTGTATCTTCCCTTCCCATTTTCCCCATCTGTGGCTTTTCATTTCATTCAGTAATGGTCTTTTGACCCCTCATGACATTCTAAGGTTTTATGGAATTCAACCATTAAAAAAATTAATTTCTGGGGCTGCTGTAGTAGAGCACTTGCCTAGCAAGTGTGAGGCCCTGAGTTCAAGCCCCAGTACCACCAAAAAAAAAAAAACAATTTAAATAAATTTCTGGCCAGGCACAAACAGCTCTTGCCTATACTACTAGCTACTAAGGAGGCAGAGATTTGGAGGATCGAGGTTCAAAGCCAGCTGGGCAAATAGTTCAAGAGACCCTATGTCCAAATTACCCAACACACACAAAAAAAGGACTGGTTGAGTGGCTCAAGTGGTAGAGCACCTGCCTAGTAAGGTAAAGCCCTGAGTTCAGACCCCAGTACCCCCCACCAAAAAAAAAAAACAAAAAACTTCTAAATTTAGAAACCTGCTTAACTTAGGGTTTCTTTCCCTAACTCAGGATTAAAAATGCATTTTTCTCATTCATTTGCCTTGGGTCGGATAGAAAAGATTTTAAGCTGAGTGCAGTAGGTCATACCTATAGCTACTTGGGAGGCAGAGATCAGGAAGGCAGTGGTTCAAACGGTTCCTGCCTAGCAAGCATGATGTTCTGAATTCAAAACAAAAGAGACTATTTAAGCCCTTGAGGCTGACAATCTTGGTGGTAACGAACCAACCCTATCTTGCAGAACGAAGGCAGTCAGAGCTCTATGCACACTCATAAGACCTCATTTGAAAAACAGGCCAGTGACTGAACTGAAGGTTGGTTTGCCAACCTCCATTTCAGACTTTTAAGTTTTAAAAACAGTATTCTCCCTTTGATTCACCTGGAGCATCTCTTGGTGTGAGTGGTAATGCCAGTTCCAGCCAGTCAACATAGCCACCTTTATCCCCTCAGTCTCTGGTCACATGGAGCACTACATTGCGGATGAGCAAATAGGTAATTGCATGAGTTGGTAATTCTGCTTTTCTTAGGCCACCACAGGCTCCTTCTTCCTGCACAGAACCGGTATCCACAAAGGTAAACTGTGAACTTGCTAACAATTCTAGGAACAGGGTTCACCCCACCAGGTTCATGTTTTCCCTCCTCAGAGCCTCACAAGACCCTAGGAGTAGGGACCAGGAGAAGCCCCAGGGAGCAGGGGGGAAAACAGGTACACAGCAGGTTTGTGCTGGGACTGGGATTCGCATTTACAAAGAGACACAGCCATCCCATCCTTCCCACTATAGGACCCTCATAAGCCTTCCCTTCCTGCAGCCCTTCAATGACACTCCATCATGTCCTCTCTCCCACATAGCCATTGTATCTAACCATCACCTTTGCAAAGTTACCTCTGCTTCCTCTAGAGTGGCCTGACAGCCCCTGGCCAGCCCTGAAAGCCCTTCTTCTCCTCTACCCTCCAACTCAGAGCATGAAGGAGTGGGGCAGTGCGCCAACAACCAGGACTAGGTGGGAAGGACAGGAAACCCTCGAGCCAGGTCAGTGGCAGCACAGCAAAAATCACATCATTCTCTGGTGACAGGCAGGGGCTGTCTGTCCCCATTCCCTTTGTAGACAAAGACTTCCATGCCCACGGAAGGATCACAGCAGCCTGACCTTCTATATATCTGATAACTATTATGTCTCCCTTTGTAACACAACCCTAGTGGTTAGAACCAGATAGAGATGAAACCATCTGGGAACCTCAAGAAAGCTCTAGTCCTGAGCATGCCTTTCTTGCCTCTTTAACCCTATCCCTGTTGACAATACTGTAAGGACTTTCCTGTCAGGCAGAAGACCCAGCAGGACCAACTAGGTCAAGTGAGGCCACTCAGTCACCTGAGTTCCTCTCTGCACAAGCCACCGGGAAACTGACTCACTCATTAGGCAGACCCACCTTACCCCCTTGTGTCTGTTTAGGATTTGTTTTGCATGGGATTATCCTAGAGCCCAGTCCCTTAGTCTCAACAAATGGAGCAGTATGGACATGTCAACCTGGCTGAATGGACTGTACCCTCCTGGCCCTGGGATGCTGGAGCTGAGGTAGAGAAAGCCACAGTGGATGAACAGGTGGTGAGCTAACTAGGCAGAGATTTCAGGTGCCTCCCCCAAGACTCCTAAACACCTAGGGGGTCCTTATCACAAGCATGTTCTTTATCTTGTTCCTGACCTGCCCCATCTAGCAAACAACTTCAAGGTTCTGCGTGAAGGGTCATCCTGCATCCAACTTGGCTTCCAAGAAGCCAGCTGAGATATAGACATACATATATATAAGAGGAGGAGAGGTCCCAGGAGGGAGGAAGACAGAAGGGGAGGAGGGAACTGAGCCCCAGAAGCAAGGGTGGACTGATAAGAATAAACGTGAGGGGAAAAAGGGCAACATACTAACTGGTGAATCTGAGCGAGTATGCCAGAGTTATATGACCTTTTCTATAACAAAGTTTTTAAACTTTAAAAGAAACATAAGCTGGCAGAATGGCTCAAATGGTAGAGCGCCTTCCTAGCAAGTGTGATGCCCTAAATTCAAACCCAGAACCACATAAAACAACAACCACTACCTTAGTGGTCCACGGATCCCCGTGCCTGCCCCTCCAACTTTAGCATGGGGAAGATGGGTTTTCTCCATCCCACCCAAAAGCCCCAGGCCAATGACCCCTCCCTCCAGCATCACACTGGGGTACAGCACCCCCAGGGCCACAAACCCACCTGCGGGATCCCCAGACTTCCCTCTCTGCCCCATACTCAGGGTACAGCACCCTGGGGCACACTACCACCACACGGACCCCTAAGCCTCCCCCTGTCGCGTCACGCTCGGGTACGGCACCTCAGGACCACAATCCCACCTGAGGGGCTCCAAAACCTTCTATCCTGGATCCTCATTCGCGGACCATTCCCCGGGGCCACACCCCCACGTAGTACCCCCACCCCTCTTCTCCCCGCCCCACACTCCCACTACACGGAGACCCAAGTCTCCCCTTCTCGCACCACAATCTAGGGACCGTCAGTCCTGTCCTCCCTGCCCCACACTAGGTACAGCATTCCGGGGCCACGATTGCCCCGCCCCAATCGGCCCTCCAGCGTCACACTTGGTAACGACACCCGGGGCCTCACTCCCATCACAGGGCCCCCAGGCCTCCCCTCCCAGCACCACACTCGGGGGCCGCACCCCGGGATCACAGCTCCACCGCAGACACCTTCATCCCCTGCCCCACCTGTTAGGCCCACTGGCTGGACGCTGATAGCCAGCTCAGGAGGGCGCGGGGCAGCCCGACCCACCTGCTGCGCAGCGACGACCCACGGCTTCCCGCAGCCCCCAGCCCAAAGCAGCACGATGACGACCAGCCGCACTGCGCATGCACGCCAAACTAAGCTGTAGACTACAGCTCCCAGAATGCAATGGAGCCGTTTGCGACGCCAGGAGAGAGTCGGGGCCGCACTGACAGGACGAACATCCAATTAGCGGCAGGATCCTCTCCGCCTTCCCCGCCCCCCGACCTGCGCCTGCGTCACTCTCGAGCCATGGCAACCAGATAAACAAGCGAAAACAAAATGTGCCTCCGACCAAGACCTTGGAAGTGGAGACAAAGACCGAGAAAGACAGACTCAAGAGACAGAAACACGCGGACTAGGACGAGCAGCAGCCATAAAACCTGAGACGCAAGTGCTCAGAGAGACAGGAGACCAAGAGTCCCGGAGTCCAGAGATGAGATATACCGGGTCAGAGACAGAGGACAGGAAGAGAAGGCGTGCCCAAACATGCAAAAACAAAAATGGAGACCCAGACACTGGGACGGCCAAGGAGAGACCCGGGAGACAGAGCTGGAGCCCCAAAGAGGCCTCCAGGGATGGGGAGAAGAGTATGGAGGCACGGATCCGCCGGGGAGCGGACGGAATGGGAAGACCACCACGCCAGAACTTCAGCAGCCACGACGTGACCAGCCAAGGCACGGAGACCACTGCGCGGACAGCACAGGAAGGAAGGTGCTGCCCTCCCGGTGCTCCAGACAGCAAGGCTTCTGTCATCCTGGCCGTTGGCAAGGATCTTTAAATTTAAGCTGTTATGTTTTATTACCTATTTACATAAAGCAAAACACTTTGTTCGATTGTGAGAATCTTAAATCATGTGCCATCAGGACTAAAATAGTTCCACTGTCCCCTTGCAGTCACATCTCCTCCACCCACAACCCTGGCAAACACTGCCTCTACAGAATGTCCTATAAATGTAATCATATAGCTTGTGGCCTTTTGGAGTTTTTTTTCACGGAATGGAATTTCCCTGACATCAGTGAAAGTAGTCTCTATCCATGGTTTGTTCTGTTTATTGCTAAGCAGTATTGAAGGTCTACAGTAGCTTCAAAATCTACCAGTTTAAGGACACTGGGTTTGCTTTCCATATTTTGCTATTACAAATAAAGATGCTGTGAACATTTGTGAGTGGGTTTTTGTGTAAACATAAAGTACTCGGTTTTCAGGAAAATGCCAAGAATGCAACTGCTGTCATATAGTAAGCACATGGTTAGTATTAAAACAACAACAAACCTATCATACTCTTAGCTGGAATGCTCCCACCACACTCTTACCAGCATTTGGTGTTACTTTTTTTCCTTTAGCCATTCAGTGTGTAGTGATGGTATTCAGTGTATAGCTAATAATGTTGAGCATATTTTCACCGTTACTTGTCATTGTGCATAATCAACAATGAAGTATCTTTTTATGTCTTTTAACCATTTTCTAGTTTATAAATAAATGCTGGGTTCTAAGAGATCTTTGTAATTTGAGATGTAAGTTGTTGGGTATGTAGCTCACTATTTTCTCCCAGTCTTTTACCTGACTTTTTACATCTTCAACAGTCTTTAGCAAAGGATTTTAATTTACGTGATGTCCAATGTATCAGTTTTTCCTTCGATGGATGTTTTTGGTGTCAAGTTTAACAACTCTGATTACTCCTAATAAAAATACAAGAGAAAATGTGGAAAATTTAAAACTTGGTATGGATTCTTGTTTTGTGTGCTAGGGATAAAAGCCAGGCCTTTGAGCAAGGCAGCACTGTATTTGCCACAATCTCAATTTCTCCTTCCGATGTTACTATTTTCATCAAACCCAAGACATAATTGATAGGAAGAGGCACATTTATGTGCTACTGAGAAAAGTCTGCCAATTTCAACCATGATGTTATTGACTAACCTGACTTCAGAAATGTTTTAGAACAAAATACACTTTAGTCCTCAGGGTTCTGTGTTAAGTATTCACTTTCTGGTAGACACACCACAGCTTACAATGGGACTAATGCCCCCAATAAACAATGTTTAAGTTGAAATTATTTTAAGTCAAAAATGCATTTAAGGGGCTAGAGATGTGGCTCAGTGACAGAGCACATATCTAGAATATGTATGAGTCCTGGGTTCCATCCCTAACCACACATGTACACACATTATTTAATACACCTAACCTACCAAAATGATTATAGCTTAGCCTAGCTTATCTTAAATATGCTCAGAACATTTACACTGCCTACACTTGAGCAAAATCATCTAACACAAAGCTGCTTTTATAATAACATGTTCAGTATCTCATGTAATCTAATACTCAACTGAAAGTGAAAAATAGAATGGTTGCATGAGTTGCTTTCACATCATAGTACAGTCAAAGCATCATTGAGTGAAACCATTAACAATGGTTAATGGTTAATTAACAGACAGGGACTGTCTGTACAAACTTCTTCTAGAAATCTGCTAAAAACTCAAATGCAAATTTTTCCAGGGACCAATGTCTTCCAAGAATGTTCTCTCCAGATCTCATTCCCTGATGCAGAGTTGTGCTGTGCAGTGCAGTAGCCATGATAGGCACTGTTACAGACTCACTCTTGAGAAGACCAAGCACTCTGGAAACTTTCCCACTACTAGTATAGCTTTTCTTTTCTACCATGAGTTTTCTCACCACATTAGATGTGATCATCTTAAGAGGTTCTCCATATTATCACTCCATTGGTCAATTCCAAAATGCATTCTTTTAATACAAGAATTTCATCAAGTATTACTCAAATTCAACCTTTGTGTGCGTGTGTGTTTCAGTACTGAGGTTTGAACTCAGGGTCTCCTGCTTGCTAGACAGGCACTCTAGCTCTTGAGGCACTCGAATGAACTTCAACCTTTTTAACTGAGTCTCCTGATGCAAAGAAAGGTCAAAGCTCCAGTTTAGATAGTTTCTATGTTTATTCCACTCAGGTTTGATTTGGCAGTGTTGGATAGCGAACCAGGTTCTCACCAATGCTAGGCAAGTTCTCTACCAGTGAGCAACCATGCCAGCCTTTGGTTTTCTTGAGACAGGGTCTTTCTGTGTAGTGCAGGCTGGCTTCAAACTCATGATCCTCCTGCCTCACTTCTGGGTGCTGGGATTACAGGATTGAACCACCAAACCCAGCCTAAAATAGTTTTTTAAATAAACATTTGCACATCATATGACATCAGAAAGAAACAAGTTAAAAGTAAGTTTCTCTTGGAGAGTACCTCAGCTCTGTCACCAATATTCAAAATCTTCATTGTGACATTTCATGGTTCTTCTCCAGTAAGTTCAGCAACTATGGCAGAATTCTAACTTCTTATAGAAATGCAATCATCTCCAGCATTCTGTTCCAAGGAGTAAAAGCTTTATTTTCAAACAGCTGTTCCTCAACATAGTCTATGGCACTAAGTAGAGAGAGTCTGACAGTCCTTGACATCCATGTTCACTGAATTCTCACAGGAGTTGCTGCTGTGCCAACTGTGGTGTTACACTTGTAGGGTATCTATCCATTATAGATTTTTTTTTTTTATGCACAAGAGATAATCATGTGGTTAAAGGATTTTCCACACTCTTTATACCTCCATGGTTTTTCTCCAGTGTGAATCCTCCCATGTTTAATAAGGTATGAGCCATCAATGAAAGCCTTCCCATATTCAGTACATTCAAAGGGCTTCCCTACTGTGTAAGGTGGGAGACATCAGGGTAAGTTTCACACTCATTACATTGAATGGTCTTTCTCCAGAATGAGTTCTGTGGTGCAACAAAAAGGAAAAGTAGTGGCTAAAGGCCTTCCCACATTGGACATATTCATAAGGCTTCTCTCCAGTGTGGGTCCTCCTCATGTTTGATAAAGGCAAAGTGGGCATTTACATCATTTAGGACATTTATAGGGCTTCCCACCTGTATGGATTTTTTGACACACAATCAGGTTGTAATTGGTTTTTTTTTTTTTGGGAGGGGGGGACTGGAGTTTGAACTCAGGACTTTGCATTTGCAAAGCAGGCACTCTACAAAAATCTTCATTTTTGAAGATGGGAGCTCACAAACTATTGCCCAGGCTGGTCTTGAACCGTGATCCTCCCAATTTCAGCCTCCCCAAGTACCTGGATTACAGGTGTGAGTCAGATTGTAATTCTTGGAAAAGGATATTCCACAGTCATTACAAATATAGGGTCTCTCTCCACTATGAGTCCTCTGATGCCCAACATATGAGGATTTCTATCTGAAGCGTGGTCCATATTTGTTGCAGTTCCTGGGTTTGTTTCCAGTTCACAGGGGTATGTATCTTTGTCAAACACCACCTCACATCCCTATCCTTTGTGGGGTTGCCTTCCCCTGACAACAGCATCCTGTGCAGCGGTGTGCCCAGAACAGTGGAGGGAGGTTGCCACTATGTTAAAGGAACATCTCCTGTTAAATCTCCACCTAGGAGGCCAGGTGGGCCACCCTGACTGACAGCTGTTCTACAGCCATCATTTCTGACTAGCATGCTATCTTCAGAGCTTTCCTGACAGAGACACATGTAACTGAAACACCTAACATTCAAGTCGTGTTCACAGAAACCTTTTCTTGAAGGACCACTTTTACATGGACTAAGGACTAAGCAGTGGCTTGTGCTTTCCCTGGATTCATATACAGAGACTGCAGTCTTTCACTTGTCCTTCTGGGTCCTCTCTGGCAGATGCCACTCAGCTCATGTCTTCCTCTGGGTTTTTATGGGGCATTTCTACCTGATCTTGACATTCCCAGACTTCTCCTAATGCAGACAAACAGCAATCACCCTGAAGAATTCTCCCGTTTTCACAAAATTGGGTGGTTCTTCCTCCACAACATCCTGATTTGGGGATTCCGTGAGACTTTGTTTCTCAAGCTGGGGGGAAGGGAGAAAATATTTGAATCCTAACAGAAAAAAAAAATGGCTAGAGTTAGAATGGTGGTGTGTAAATACTAAAATTAGTCAGGCCAGTATCTATGAAACCTCTCTGCCCAGTAATTCCCTCATAGGTACACACCTAAGAGAAATTTGTCCATACATTCACAGCAATGCAGAGACTGGAC